GAGAATGACAAATTGAAAAGCATGTGGAAGTAAGGGCCGTTGGCCCTGAAGAGAGGGCGGGTCTGTCTTTTGTATATACTGCTGGCCCTCGCCAGAGTAGTCTTTCTCGGGTATGAGTCCCTTTTGCTTCGCGGCGATATTTTACTCTCTCAGATTTGAGACTTCCATTTTCGTCGCCTCCTACGCCTCGCAGGGTCACGGTAGAGTGATTGGACCCCTCCTCCACACTCTAAGCTACTTCAGATCCTCGTTATATAGGCTCAGCACGGAACACACAGAAAACACTAGTCACATGATTGCTGCACAGCAATTTCATTGGCTCGCTGACTGCTGCCTAACAACGAGTTATGACATTAGTTCACTGGGACACGGTTTTCATTGTTGCCGTTGCCTAGGAATGCGTTGATCCAATCCGTTACACTATTATTATTATTTCTGTCACGATAAATATTATTTACATAGCTACATAACAATTTGGATTATAACAAGTTGATAAATTGAATACGTGTTCATACGTGTGGCCTGAGACTCATCGGGCGAATGTGGGACGTATTATATCACATTTAGTAGTAATACTAGTCTATTGCAAATACACACAAATAAATGTAACCAAACGTTTAAATACATATGCAGATTAATATATGCAAAATATAAAATATGGACAGGTAAAAATTATTACACGTATCGCTGTCTTTAAAATAATTGCAATTATGATCATTAATTGAAAAATGCTTATTGTTAAATGAGATAAAATGAATTGAAAGAGACATAGAAGAAAGCGACCAGGGTTCGTTTTAAGAAATTATATTGTGCCAAGTAAATTCATTACAAATGGCCGCGCCATAGCTCAAGCGGCTACTCGATGGCTTCCCACCACGGCGGCCCGGGTTCGAAAATTATAATTTTATCTACTAATAACCTCGTTCGAAGACAATACATTGAGGGTATTTGAGAACACGGGTCTCAGGAGGATACCTGGATCTAAGGAAGAGGAAGCAGCCGGAGACTGGAGAAAATGACTTTTTGAGGAGAAACAAGATCTGTAATTTTCAGCAGGTATTATTGCGTTATTCAAATCGAAGATTATGTGGCGTCGTTTCATGCATCACCCAAGGGAAAATGACAGAAATTTGATCATACAACCTGATATAATAGAAGACATAGAAAACATTAGAGTGGACAGGAGAATTATCCTATGTTGAGGAAAAACTTTTCCCTGTGGTTAACTAGCTAAGGACTACGCCATGAAAGCCTATGGGGAAGTGGCTGTATAGATCCACATTTTCTTGCCCTTGGCGCTAGTTGGAGGTGAGTGGTCAGTTCATGTCTTTGTCCCTTTAACCCTGAGGAAAGTGCCTCGGTGCCCAATGGATAGGAGGCTGGATGGGACAAAATCCAGTCTCGACGACGTGGAGAAAAGAAAATTCTTGACACTATCGGGACTCAAACTCCGACCCCTCCCTCATCCAGCTCGTAGCTAGTCGCTGTACAGACTGCTCTATTCCGACTTCTAGAATAATACTAAGATTATTCTCAAAATATATAGTTTATGAATGTGAAATAGATTAATCTAGTTCAGGGTAGATTCCAGTGGCTAGTGATTGCGAAGACGGCAGTGAAACTTCACGTTTCATAGTACTTAGAAAGAGTGTCAGCCTCTCAAGATTAATTCCATTCTATGGAATTAGACTGGAGAAATGTTAAATTGTGCGTGGTAGAACTTCCAGTAGCCCACAGCGCCTATACAAATTCCTGTGGGATTTCAGACTCACTTATTGATTAGATTTTTAAATTAGTTAGCCGTCCATTTTTATTAAAGACGTCATAGCCTATAGAATGAAATATTATTCAAAGATTTATTCTTGTTCAGCAGATTCTACGGTACAGTACTGTGATTGAAAGATGATAATTAATATGGAGTATATAAGGATTTTAACTGTGACTCCCTGAGGAATTAAAAGTATTCTTCAGGTATTCATTTGGACGGTTTCAAGAAACCGTGAATAGTCTCGGTCGACATTGTAGGAAAACGGGCGAGATTCGAAAAGGTTTCCCTCTGAATACATGTCACGACTTTTGCGGCTGCACTCTTCGAACTACTTCATTTAAAGCAATTAAATCTATCAAAAAGCAGCCCAAATTTCAGTCCTCCCCCATATAACTCTACAGAATACAGACCACTTTCTCTAGATGCGGCCATATTTATCACTGGAGATGGTACCGTTCTTTTTGTAATAAAAATCATGTATCGGTTATGAGCACAAAACACTAATATACAGTAACTTGTCAAAAATATTATACTTTTAAATTGAGGCTAGCTCTTTCTAAGGGACCCGACTGAATAGGTGTTTTCCTTCACCTGAGGACGGAAACAGATCCAGTTTCCGAAACGTCGTGTTTTTATTTGTTATCTTAAAAACCAGGACGATGGATAAAGTCCAAAATCCCAACATATCAGTGTGTTATACACCATCGTCAGAATCCTATAGTAACTACTTTTAAATTTGTATTATACGAATAATTTTTGTTGGGATTTGCTTGCAGTACCCAGTAAACTGAACTAGGTTGGCTACTCAATAAATAAACCGAGTGCCGATTGGATGGCTCGGTTCATGTCCATATAGGAGGATGCACATTTCTCACAGCAACATATCCAGACAAGATCTTGAACCCACCAAACATTCTATTAAATAAATTCTTGGACTCCTTGAAAGAGGATGAACAGATCGGGTCATGAAAATGATCACTTATCTCCATCGAATGTCGAAGTTAATAAGTAGAGCTTAACATCAGCTCCCCCATGCACTGGCACACAGAGTAATCTGATAAGACCTAAAAGTCTGTGAAAATGGTACATTGCTACAAGTATTATGTTTGTGGACATTCTTTTCTATTTTTATCCCTTACCCCTATTTCTGATGCTAATGTCTGCAAAGCCATCAAAAGACTAAAACCATCAAAATCTTTTGGGCTTGACAGTGTTCCTGGTTTTATCATCAAAGCTTGTGCAGATATTTTTATTCCTATACTTAGGCATATATTTAACTTGAGCCTGACGCAGCAGTATTTTCCTGCTGCATGGAAAGAATCTGCTGTTGTACCAGTATTTAAAAGAGGCAATCATGCCGCTGTGAGCAACTACAGACCCATTTCTATTCTCAGTAATTTCTCTAAATTGTTTGAATTCATTTTTCATGATCATGTTTCTCATTTCGCTAAATTTAATCTTAACCAACATGGTTTTAAAGAACTAAATCTACAGTTACAAATTTGGTGACGTTTCTCTAACTTTGAGGCCTGTTGTCCGCGGTCAGAGTCAAGCTGATACCGTATATTTTGATCTTTCAAATGCTTTTGACCTCGTCTCACGTCCGGTGTGCCGCAAGGCTCTGTTCTAGGGCATTTTCTTTTCAACGTATTTATAAATGACCTATGCGACTCTGTTAACTACTGTAAACTTCTAATTTTTGCCCATGACCTCAAAAATTTCCGCGTCTTTAATTCACCACATGATTGCCTTTTACTTCAATCTGACATTAATTCCGTAAGTGATTGGTGAAATGCTAACTCCATGAAACTTAATAGTGCTAAAACGCGTGCTGTATCATACACCAGGAAAACAAATTTTCTGAGCTACGCGTATCACCTTTGTCGTGCTATCATTACACGCACCAGCAGTATTAAGGACCTGGGCGTTTTCTTTGATTTAAAGTTACATTTTCACACACATGTTAATTACATATTTTCTGAATGCATGAAGCTTTTAGGCCTTATTCGCTCCATTACCTACAGGTTTTCCTCCGTGGAGTCTGTATGTACTATATTTTACTTTAGTTAGGTCCAAGTTGGAATATGCCTCAGTAGTTTGGAACTCCATCACCTCGACTGATGCCAATAAGCTTGAGCGCATCCAGCAGAAGTTTGCGTCCGTCTGTTTTTATCGCTTTCCCCTCATATTTCATATACTTATACTGATGCTTTAGAGAAATTAAGTCTGCAATCTTTACATAAACAGAGACATCACCTTGATGCACTTCTTCTTGTTCAGGTCTTTCGTGGTCTTAAATCCTGCGCTTCTCTTTTGGAAAATGTTAGCCTTCGTGTTCCTGCCAGCAATCTTAGGGACTTCTCATTGTTTGGTGTTTGTCCCTCTAATAAACACTGTCCTTCTGCTCGGTGCGCCTATGCTGCCAACGCGGTGGGTTAAGATCTGGACATATTTGCAATCGGAACAGTTTCTGTCAGTGACACTGAACCTAAAATTATTAATAATATTTGTTAATACTCTTAATCCGTATCACGTTTGTGTATGTACGTATATTGGTCTTGTTTTATTTTCTCTCCTGTCAACATTAACTTTATTTTTTTTTTTGGAAAGTTTATCAATTTATTACCATTACATAGACTCTCAAATTTGTATTTTGATTTTTAATTATTTTTTATNTATTTATTGGCATTATAAAGACTGTTTTATTTTGTATTTTTTAGTTGTTTTGTGTATTTCCATGTACTCATGCCAGCTTTGTAATTGGCCTCTGTGCTGTTAAGTGTGTACGCAAATAGACACGAATTGAATTGAATTATCCATCGCCCTGTCTTTATCTAAAAATCGTTCTGTTTATTTTTCAAAATAGAACGTTTCGGAGAGAGCCACCCACCTGAGTAGGTTTTACCTGAGGACGGGCACGGAATTCAGTCTCCGAAAAGTTGTTTAGAAAAATTAACAGGACGGTTTTTAGAAAATAGACAGGACGATGGATAATTTTCAAGAACATAATACTTTTTACAGGGTAAACTGATATTAATTTAAATCAGTGAGAATTTTTGTCGAAGCTATATGATTTGGGATCACATGAAGACAACACAAAATTGTAATTTTCAGTATTTGATAATGTAGCAGATGCTTGCTGACAGCATCGATCGACCGTGCGCTGGTCCACGACGCCTCGTGATCAAGCGACGTAACAGCGCCGCGACGCGTCAGTAGTGGGAGAGCGCCCGCCAAGCGAGGCTGGTGGTCGCTCCGATCAACTGCACGTGCGCGGCCCTCCCTTCACTTGTTTCTGAACTGGAGGACCCAGAGGTATTTTGTTCGGTAGTGTCTGTTGTCGTGTGTGGTGCTTTAGCGGCAGTTTTTTCTTCAATGTGAGATCTGTGAATAAGTGTTTCATTATTGGTGTTTAGATGACTTTGTGATTCAGTGTTTAATTATTTTAAAAATCAACATAAACTTGATGCAGTGTTTTACAACAATTTGAAGGAAACTGTTCATGTCACACGCAGCAGAATTACAATGATACGCATACAAAGTAAGAGGAATTAGAACTTCAAAAGTTTGAACTTCAATATTATAGTAGCAGATTACATTATGGTAAGTAATTTTACGAGAAAAAATGTATTTATATTTAATATTTTATGGAAATGTATAATGGGATATTTCTTCTATTTAAAGTTCTGAGGAAGTGCATTGATATTTAAATGTTAATGCATCTTATTGTTAATACAGCACGATTTCCTTAATGAAATGAAATGAAAGTACGTCCTGTTATTAAACAAGTTTTAAAACCAAAACCATAAAAATTAGCAGTATATTTTCGGGTGACAACATTCAGTGTGTCTGGTGTTCGAGTATGAATTTAATTGAATTGAATAAATAATATTTATTTTCAAATATAGAAACCAAGTGACATGTAGAAAAGTTGTAAATATCTACTTCCTATATCCTATAATCGAAAATTTATAATGAAGTCTTTCATTTTATATTTGCACTAGGAGAATGTGCTGATTCCCTAAGGTCAATATTTAAAACTCCCAAGTTATATTACATATATACTCATTTACTTCGGACTATTTACATTAAAGTACATACACAACGAAGGGCTGTGCCTAGAATTCTGAATAACATTAACCCGAGCCAGTAAGATCTCTCCTTTTTCGGGCACCAGATATGTTTCCAAGGAGATTTATCTCGTTGCAGTCTGCAGTCTGAACTTCCTTCCAAGTAATCTCTTGAACTCCTGAAGGGCGAAACTTCCCCCTGCTCCCAACTGCCCCATTTGGCAATGTATCTGAAGCCACTGACAACTATAATCCGGAAATAAACCGCTCCCCAATCCGTATGATTACAACTTGAAATGTCCTTGCAAACTTTTGCAGTTTCCTGCATTAGTTCCTCTTATTTCTGCAGAAGGAACTGTGAGGTCTGTTCTATACTCTTGCCTCTATGCCCAAGTTGAGCCTCTCGCATTCGAGCCTTCACACGTTAAGAACGAGATATGTATTTTAGAAACAGTTTTTATTCGAAATGGTGTTAACGATTCCCATTATCGGTAAGATTTAATCTTCTATGGTATCATCCAGATGTTCAGTATCTGCATGAAACGACAGTGGCAGTGAAATTATACAGAATAACATATTTACCTTCAACAGTTTCTAAGCTGTATTATTATTTAAAGAACATATTTCTATATATTTTCATCGTATTACACACTGCGGTTTCAATTGTTGAAGATACCTAATTGTTATCGTCAATGAAAACCAGAATATTTATTTCTCAGAATTTCGTAAAAAATCAATAAATTGAGACCAGAAAATCCTCCCAGTTCTTGTAAGAGGAATATAAATTTGAAGCGTTTGTAAAGAATAGTACCCCCCCCCCTTGGTACAACAGCCCCAGTGGGCCTAGGCCTACCTCCATGAACTTCTCCGTTGACTTCGGTTTACTAGATCTTACACATTCGGTAGGACTCCTTGGGCAAGGGATCAGCTTGTCGCAAGGCCTATACCTGTACACAAACACAGAAAAACGCACACAAACATCCATGCCCTGAGTGGGATTCGAACCCACGATCCAGGCTTCCTAGCGACTGAAGACAGAAAAGAAGAGTACCAGGGAAAGTTATTTGCCCTGTAACGAATAAATTAAGTGATAACTAACTTTGTGCAGTTCCAAGTCAAACTTTGAGGTCTGAGAGGCTACACTGGACTGTGAATCTTTCTAGGTTAGAGGAGACAAAGAATGCGTACAAAATGTTGGTTCGGAAAACCTGTCATAACATTTCCACGTGTAGTATCAAAGTGAAAATGAAATCATATTAAGATAAACCTCAGTCAATTCGTTTTTGAAGACAGGTTGTGGATATTTTTGATCTAGTTTCGATTCAAATTGAGGTTTATAATACTGAGTGGTGTTAAAATTTCCGATTAATGTCGTCTTTCGGAATGTTTCGCCGTTTAAATCTTGCGTGAACTGACGTTTCGGAGGAAGGTTGGTTTACACAAGATGTACACGGCACCACATCCCAGAAGACGGCATTCTTCATAGTCACCGCCGTGAGAACCTCAAATTTTAACATTGAAATTTCTGATTCTGCACAAGATATAATGGTTCAAATTTCAGTGAGGAAATTGACTACTCTGACCAAAGTTTCATCGTGATTTTGTTCAGTCACTCAAGTAAATGACGGGATGTTAGCTTAATTACACCACGAACAGTTTCTTGCCAAATCCTTTCCAATTCATTCCTAACGTCCAATCATTCGATGCGATATAGCCTTAGCTACTGACAGCGTCATTAAATAAACAATATATAAATACTAGTGCTGAATAATAACGACAGTAGTGTCTGTGCTTTAAGCCGCTTGGCGACATCGAAAAAGAAAACTGTTAGATAAGGCGCAGCGGGAGAAGAAAGTAAATATCACAACTAAATTATACGAGAATACATTTAAATGAGGCGAAAGATGAGCTTAAATCTCTTCTAGGACTCATAAATGAAAACCTGGATGGCTCGAGTAACAAAATTAGTCATTCATACAGAATTTAGTACGATGATTTCCAGTGAGAGAAATTCAATCCTTGTTGAAGATCCCATTGTTCCTGCAAGCTTAATTAGTAACAAAAATTCATCTAGCAAACAGACTGCCCATGTTAGTGACAGCATGTATTACGTGGAAAATACTCTGTGTTTAACTCGACCAGAAAGCTTTGTCTTGCAGTATGCAGAATACATGAAGACTGACAAATCTCTTTGCCTTTAGACATTTTGATATGAAAAAGGTCGACTAGGAGTAATGGCATAATTAGTATTAATATGCTTTCATAATTATTGTCACATTATATTGAATTAATGTGGTTTTGCATGAAATTGAAAATTTAATTTAATTATTTTTAGTTTATACCATAAATATTAAACATAATGAAGTCATAACAGACAGATGGATATTGCAGTCCGTACGACATGAGGATTCTAAAATAATAATAATAATAATAATAATAATAATAATAATAATAATAATAATAATAATAATGACAGTATAAAATTAATAATAATTTCAATCACAAAGAATTTGAGGCAGGTTAATTTCGGAAAATACTTCCTACCATTAATTAACAACCATTCGTCTACCAATTTTCTGTCTCAGTAATAATATTTCATAATTTATTTTTGAGAAGTGCCTAAAAAGTGAATCAACCATTCGAAAACTGAATTGAAGTGTATGGCAAAACACTTAGTCGTATAATGGGGTAATTTAGCCCAGAATTTACAGACGACTCTTCTGCTTATGGCGTGTCACTTTTCTTTATTTTGTGAATTTGTGTTTGGGCATGCTTATCGCACTGATTGAGCACTTTGAAGAAGTTCATAGTTCTGGACCAAAAGAAAAGTCACTGGTTAGAGGACAATTCATTCATTCATCAGTAATCTGTCAGACGACAGGTCCGCAGTCTTCCAAAGCAGTTCCTCCACTTAAGGCGATCTAGAGCTTTCTCCTTCAAATGACAGTATCTTCTTCTGTCCCCAAGGTCATCCAGCATCTTCTTACGTCTTCTTGATATATATGTAGTCCTTTTTCTTCATCACTTTGCAGCTCCCTGCCCCTAAAAATACTTAGCCCTCTTGAGCATTCTGCAGTAACTAAGCCATCATTCAGAACCCTGAGAAGTCATTTCCAGAATTTATTAGCCATGGGAGACTTCAGGAGGGGAAATCTCGCTGACGGTACATTAGATCATGCTTCTGCCAGGTTTTGTTTGGTTTAGACTTCATTTACTTCCATACGCTGTAGTTAGACAGAGACAGAGAATAGTGTGTGTTCGTGAGAAATTGTAAACGTTTAAAGTGAAAGAATGAAAGTTCATATTATGAAATAAATTTTAAAACTTCTTTGAAAAGTATTAATTAAATAAGGTTTTGGTTTTGTCAGAAAATTCAATTCTCTTAAACTGAATAATATTCTAGAATACATATTGTGTGTTCTTTTTATGAATTCTTCAGTGAACATATTATTATATACACAGAGGCAAGACTGTTTGAAGCCTTGCCTCAGATGGGATTGAAATTACGTAAGCCGGGAGGCCGACTCCACTTCTCTTAACATCCAGTACGTCGACCTGTTCATATTTTTTAATCGTATATAGGCCCACCTTATTGAATCTATATAATGGAATTATATATGTTGCAAAAACTGGATGAAAATAAAAATGTAAGGTTAAGTACAAATTCTAAGAAAATTGTTTGGCATTATATTTAAAAACTGAAAAGAATTTCAGAAGAAATAAAGACAGGCTTATACATTTCTCGTTACCCTGCAGGTTATTCTCAATAAAGATTTCTTTGAAGCAGAAAAAAAATATATTCTCGCCGTTACGTTTTCCTGAGAGCCATAGACAGAAGAAATTCATGTAAATTCTCCACCTCAGCACTATTGTTGTATTCGTATGGTCATTCAAGTGGGTGACACACGAAGAGATTTCATTGCTTTATTTCCATTCTCCTGTTCTGTCTGAGAGCCTGTGCCCTCACATTATGCTTCCATATCTCTGAGACCAAGCTATCGTTATGTACATATCTTACTGCCTTTAAAGTGCTATCTCTACATGTTATTCATCGAACAGGGAGGTGTAGCGGTAAGGCGATAGAATTGTTTGCTCAAGAGATCATTCTTGAACCAAGGAGGATCATTACAGGAAATTCTGACTAATGTTGTTCGTAGTATCTCGATAAGGTTGCGAACGCCTCCTTCCAAATCCTGTCCATTTTCTCTTTCATTATTCGTAATGTAAACTGGATGACATAGATAGATGGCCTCGATATGACAACATCGTAAAAATAAACCATGAAATGCTCACCATGTCTACAGCTATGTACGTGTAGTATCCAATAGCCGGTCGCAGTGGCTGCGCAGTCTAAGGCATAAAATGTCTTCGTCGGCTCCAACATTGGGATCGTGGGTTCGGACACCACTCAAAGCATGGATGTCTGTTTGTGTTATGTGGCGAAGTTGCAATAGGCTGATCCCTAATTCAAGGAATCCTACCGACTGTCTTAGATTAAGAAACTGAAGTGAAAGGAAGTGTGTTCACGGAAGC